ACAAAGATGGAACAGGTCACAACCGTGGCACAACTAGCATCATCGTTATAAAAGGCTTGGAACGATCATGATCGCGGGGATTTTTAAACCGTTCGTTGGTACTTGTTAACTTTTCGTTTTAGAGAAAAGAGTACAAAAATATTGAACGTGGAGAATATACAAGTAATATATTCACATTGACGAGTGATGATTTAAGATTTCGTTCGATTTAAACGGATTTAAAGAAATCTGAAATGAACGATCGATTCGCTTCTTTTCTTTTTTCTAAAGTAATTTTGCTTCTAAAGTTTTTTCCCTCGAAAGTTATATGTTAAAACGTTGTACGTATTTTACGTATTGCAAGATTTCCCATATAACCGATGTTTGTGCAAAGATCAAAGATTCCAACTTTTCTTGCCAAAACTAACAAGACTGAAGAAAAATTTTCTTTCTTTACGTAAACGTATTTCCAGTACGTGTATTAACTAACACGACGCGATGCGATCAAGATGATGTCGAGATATTTTATTGCTCAACTTTCGTCTCGTGATTAGACTCGTGATTAGATTATTATTTGTTTAAACAAAATCTCCAAGCGATCTTTCGCAACGATTCGCATCGAGGACAGAATAGAAAAAATTGCACGTGCAAGGGGCACTGTACAAGTTTAATTTTACCTTCGCAAGTGATTGCAATTCCAAACGAAGATGGCGCTAGTTTACTGCCACTGTCGAATTAGCAACGATGTTTGATAACTTGTAACTTGTTTGACATCTTGGCTCGGCAATTTATTGGTTCTTCTTTTCGTACGTTTCGATAGATAGATATCGATAGTTGTATAAAATATCTTTTCCTTACAGGAAAGGCTACATTGCATAGTAATGAATTATCCGTTTCGTTAAATCTTCAATTTTCCGCAAACATGATTCTGGAAACCGAAACTACACTTCAAGTGTACACAAAAGTGTTCAAATCAAATTCGAGATTCAAAAATGAATGTATAAAAATAATACGTGTGTATTATGTTTAATTGCCATTGACTGGTCCAGCATCGACCAAGGAATTTGGTTTTCCAATGAAACGACAACACAGCAACACAGATCTTACACCACTGGGTAGCGTACGTAAGTAATTCATTCACAGTTTTCCGCTGTGCGAGAATAGAGAGTGGAACTGATGGGAAAGAAAGTCGTCAAACTCACTGATGGAAACTGATGGAAACTCCACCATGCCGTAGCATCGAAAGGAGGAGCTATGCTCACTGCCACAGTACAATGTATACACGTGCAAATTTAATGTTAAATGTTAAATTACATTACACCGCAATTACATCGCAATTTACATTTCGAAGCCATCTATCTGTATTTACATTTGGCAGCGACGTTGTAGATGGCGTTTTATAAACTGTGGAATAATTTCATGGGAGATTCCATCCGCAGAGTGAAAAATCATCGTATCGAATAAAAATACTACGATCGTATTGAATAATGATACAACGAAGGAATTTTATTAACGATACGAGATAAATTTAGCAGAAACAATTAAATTATTATACGTGAATCTCTGTGAAAGAGAATCTGTGATTCTATCTGTGTCAAATTTAGCGCGATCGCTATTCTTCTATATCGCATCTGTGTTCTCGCAATTGAAGAGACGTCGTTAAAACAGTTTTCTAAATATCAAATGCACTCTGCGTTTTCGAATCTACCATCCGATTGTTGATATCTGTGGTTTATGAAACCTGTCTCGTGTGCACACTGAACCACGTTTACGTTAATATCGATAAGTAGTGTAATATTTATCTGGGAGAGTATGCCTTTTCCTCCCTCTTTTATTCGTTTGCGCAAGAGTAATTGACACGTGGCCTATTCCTATTCCTTTTTTTTTT